TTTCCTTTATCTTCTTTGTACTTGTCGTTAGGTCGCACTTGTACTCATCAGTCATGACAAAGACTTTTCCCACATCCACCGGTCTTGTAAGAGACAGATTGTGTAAAAAGATTTGAGTTATATTTTTGGTAGAAATTGACTGTAAATATTTGAGCTTTATATAAAAGCTTAGTGTGTTTCCTTATACTTAACAAAACACGAAACATGGCTACTTCCGTTAATGGTCGTCGTAGTCCTCACTACTTGCTTGTAACATTCCCGGCGCAAGGTCACATAAACCCGGCGTTACAACTAGCCAACCGTCTCATCCACCATGGCGCAACCGTCACATACGCAACCGCCGTTTCAGCTCACCGTCGTATGGGTGAGCCACCTTCCGTCAAAGGCTTATCCTACGCGTGGTTCTCCGATGGATTCGACGACGGTCTCAAGTCCTTTGAGGATCAGAAAATCTACATGTCTGAACTCAAACGTTGTGGTTCAAACGCCTTAAGTGACATCATCAGAGCCAATCTAGACGGCACAGAACCTATCACCGGCGTTATGTACTCTCTGCTCGTCCCTTGGGTTTCTACGGTGGCGCGTGAGTTTCACCTCCCTACGACACTTCTCTGGATCGAACCCGCAACTGTATTCAACATCTACTACTACTACTTCAACGCCTCTTACAACCATCTCTTCGACATTGACCCGATTGAATTACCGGGTCTGCCACCGATATCCACCGGAGATCTCCCGTCGTTTATACAACCCTCGAAGACATTCCCTTCCGCTGTTGTGACATTAAAAGAACACATCGAAGCTCTCGAATCGGAATCAAACCCTAAGATCCTCGTGAACACTTTCGCCGAATTGGAACCTGATGCTTTAACATCCGTCAAGAGAATCAGAATGATTCCAATTGGACCTTTGGTTTCTTCTTCCAACGCCGACGATTCTTCGACTGGTAAAGCGGATCTGTTCCGGTCATCGGAAGAAGATTACATCAGATGGTTAGATTCGAAGGTCGATAAGTCTGTGATTTACATATCCTTAGGTACACACGCAGATGATTTACCTGAGAAACACATGGATGCGCTTACTAACGGTGTGTTAGCTATAGATCGACCGTTCTTATGGGTCGTGAGGG